ATTTTAATATTTAATTAAATAACTTTTATGAAAAGATAAGGCCAAAGATAACCCTTATCTAACTTTTATTCTATTTTCTAATTTTTAATTTATATGAGAAAGTTAATGATGGAAGACAATCCAAAGAAATTAACATGAATTTTTAGGTATATTTAAAGGATTTTATAATTTTACTATAAATTTCCTTAATTATAATAATTAATTCAATTAATTAATAAAAAAATTATTATATTTTTGAAAAATATGAAAATTTTCTCATGTGTTCGAGATGGAGGCAAAGACTCAAAAAATGTCGCTCATTAAGAATTATTAGAACCTGATATATTGTCAAAATTATGAATAATTATCAAATCCTAATATATTATTAAAATCATGAATAATTAACATCCAAACATTTTGGTCCTTTAAAATAAATTTTTAATATTGAGCTAATTTGATTCCCAAAGTTTTCTTAAATCAAAATCTCAAGATTATGTTAAAAGATAAATTTTTTAGCATTAGACGACATTTAACACTTCATTTTAGTAATTTTAGAAGTTGTCGTCAGGAAAACTCATTTTCTCCTTTGAAAATAGTGCAAGTCTGAAAATTGAGAAGACTTCATAAATAGCCCGGTCATCAAATTCAGTATGATTTTCAATGATTTGGATCTGATCTGTGATAATCTGGTGATAGTTATAGCTAAGCCTGAGGATGTTCATGAAGGGACACCGTTGGTTAAATTTAATGTGAGGCAAACAAAAAACAAATATTCCTTGATGAGTATGTAGAAAGAGACTATTATATTCTTGACATGTGATAAGCCCACTGATTCTTGAGATAAATTATTATTACTTACATACTCTTGTATGTTTGTTGAGTTATATTCATGATTCGTCATAAGATAGAGATTGGCCTTCCTCCTTCTCTGACTCATTGGAGCTAGTCTTCATATCCAAATTCATCCAAAAAGCCTTCATTAATTTCTTTTTTGTTATCTTTCTATCTTTTTCCTTGAACCTTTCTTTTTCTCTGGTGTAGGTTGGACAATCTCATTTGATGTGTTCAGACATTTTGTAATTGTAGCTTATCACTCTACCTGATTTATCTTTTACATCTAAATTAGAAAATTTTTTTTTATCCGTGAAACTTTTATATTCACAACTTCTTTGTCTTTGACTTCACTTTTTCTTATTCATCTCAAAGTTGAATCTTTTTCCTTAATCTCCTCTCTAGTCTCTAATTCACTATCTCTTAATTTTGTCTCATCAATTGTTGTAGACATCAAAATTTAGTTTTATCCGCAAAACTTTTATTTTCACATCTTTGCTTTTATCTTCCTTCTTTATGCCATCCTTTAAATCTCTTGCAACTAAATTCTGTTCATGAGTTATTAAAGAGCCAACAAGTTGATCAAGTAGACATGTACTTAAAATCCATTCTTCACTAATAGTTCTTAATTTGGCATCCCAATCTTTAGGTAAACATCTTATGATTTTATGCACAAGATCTTGGATTTTATATGGTCTATCTAAAGAGTGTAAAACATTTAGAAGTTTCATGAAATGTTTATGCATGTCCAAATATTTTCTTTGGGATTAATGTAAAATAGTTCATACTCATGTATTAATCTATTTATATGCATCCTTAACTTTTTTTTTGTCTGCATAAGTAATGACAAGTTTATCACATATTTCTTTTGCAATATTAAGTGTAGACACTCATACTCATATAATCATCAAAATTAAGTGCATAAAATAAAATATTCATTGTATTTGCGTTCAGTTAATCAAGTTCTGACTCGACTTAAGTCTAATCATTAATGAGTTTCTCAACTCTAATGTTGTTTATCTTTATAGTGGTTGTTTGATATTATTGTGAAAGTATATGCTACATCCTAGTGTTTTAACCATGCGAGAAAATATTCGCTCTATTTTTTCAATAGCCAAAAGGTATATTGTCTATAAGTGGTGGCATAGGAGTAGCTTGGTTTTCAGGTAAGAAACCATTAGAAAAATCGATTATCATAAGTGACCTACTTTTGGATGATTAAACAACTATATATATATATATATATATATATATATATATAGGCCTCAATCTGATACCAAAATTAAGCAACCAAGAGGAGCGGTTTATTCAATTTTACAAAAAAAAAATAAATTACTTATAATTTGTGATAAGTTTATGAAATTAAAGTTCATCAAACATAGAACACACAAGAAATTTTGTATGTAGTTCGGTCAAAACCCGAAAAACTGGACTACTCCACACTTAGCCAGATGCACTCACTAGGATTTTACTACCAAATCAATAATTCTTCTTCACACTAACTATATGTGGAGAAACCCTTACAAATCAAAATAAAAAATTTAATACAAAAACTTTCATAATAGATTTTAAAAAAATAGAAATAAATATAAAAATAACTTTTAAATTTTGCTAACACTTAATATAAAATTATAACAAATGAAAATTTAAATGAAAATCTTCAATCGAGCATACGACCTATTGATCACTACACAAACACATTGTTATTTGTGTAGGAACTCATTTATCTTTCTCAAGCTTGAAGATGATTCAATACTCTTTCAAAAATTTCTCGCTTTTGATGAAGAATGACAATCACAAATTTTAAAGTTTTTCATTGATCTTTATCTTTTAAAAACTCCTCTTATTTCGAGATATGATAATTTTATTATTATCATAATAATATTATTAAAAATTTATTCCCAAAAAAAAAATCAGCCAACTATCAGTTAAAAAAATTAATATGAAAGTTAACTTCTTAGAGTTAGTTCAGCCAACATAGAGATAACTGTGATTATTCCATTTGAAATGACTTTAAGGAAAGTAATGTGAATTTGTGATAAAAGCATTTTTTTTCATATAGATTATATTTGTTACATAGATAACTATTTGAAATGATAGAAATGAAACTTCCTTGATTTGCATTAAGGCCACTATAATGCTGTTTGATTTGATGAAGAAGAAAATAAAATATTGTTTTAATACATGCCATTTAATTTACTGGGTAACATTGGAATTGGAGCACAAAAGACAAGGCAACTACTATATTATTTTAATACTTATTAATGCAAGCAATCCAACATTGATTAAGAAAATATATAATATACACAAAATCAATGTTATGAATGTTCTTAGATTTAGGAGTTGTTTGGTTGGCAATCTTAGTGGTTTAATGTAAAGTAAATTCATGAATTTATAAAAGTTTCATGTTTGGTATTCTGTAAATGAAAATCTAATCTATTTATGAGGTACTATAGATTTACATAAACGTTATTTTTAACGTAAATGAACTATGCTTGAAACTAGCAAAACTCAATTATGTTGCAAGCCTCTTTCTCTCCCACCTTTCTCCCACATTCATGAAATAAAATTCTCGTTGCCCTCCTGTGCCCAATGAGAAATGCCCGCAGCCTCCTCTCCACCTCTATGTGAAGGACTACAGCGATCGCAACGATCACAACAAGTCATCCTCTATTCACACTCCCGTCTCCACCTGAAGATAAGATTTATCAAACTATTGCCAAAACCTCCTACAGTTTCTTCAAGCTGGGATGAAATTTGAGAGCATGTTTTCCAATTAAGATAGTTTTTAGTAGTTAAGATGGAGTTATAAAGAAGACAAAGTGGGAATTTTACATGCCATGGAAAAGTCCTAGTAAGAAAATACAAAAGTAGAAGGAGAAGAGAATTTAGTAGGGGAAATTTCTCAGACCAAATTTATTTTCTTCATTTTTCTTGTCTTGCAACATGATTTCTAGAATAAGCACATCAAGTGTTTGTATTTTCTTTAGCAAAAGCATAAACTAATTTTATGGCTATGAGGTTTATAATGTCATCTAGATTATTTACCTCTTAATTCATTTGGTTGATTATTATGTTTATTGAATGATTATTCTATTTACTTCAATTTTATTGAGTTTGTGTACATAGAGTACTCTGTCAAACTTTTGAGTTTGGTGGGAATATTCGTACTTGAGAAAGATTGTTTTGTTATTTACTTCCAAATTCTTACCTTGTTGGCATATGAAGATTGCTTTGTTATTTACTTGAGAAAGATATTTTTATTTAGTTTTCTATACATTTTCTTAATATTCTGCTGTATACAACAAGGTACAAGTAAAGATGCTCAATTGATTACATTTCCTAGATTCAGACCAATGTCCTAGTAACCTTGTAGTACTAGTACAGGTGGTAATCAAACTGTAATTTATTAGCAGATAGATTAGTAGTAAAAGATGAACTTGATAGCAAGGACCAGAAGCAAATAGATTAACCATGCTTGTACAATATTATTAATGTCATCCTTTTATAGATATAAGAGTTATATGATGTATTATTTATATTTACCCCAGTTGCTTTTTTTATATTTAATATGAGTTTATTTAGTAATTTTTCAGTTGTATTGTCTTGTATTATTATTCTTTCTTGCCATTATAATATATATTTTTTACTTACTTTTGTTGTTATAATTTGTGTAATGCTTTTTCTATTTACTTGTATGTGGTTTATTTGGGAATCATATGTTTATAGAAAGCTCATAAATAAAAACCATTTTTTTTTACCAAATTTAATGAATTGATAATCAACTTAAAATTAATTTTTTAAATAATTTCTTAAGAAGATGTTAAGACTCACACTAGCCATATTTTAATTAAAATTTATTATCTTTGTACATCCCAAATGAGATAGTAAGTAGAGCTTGCCAGGGAATAAACCTCCAATATATATATATTAATGACTAAATATATAATTTTCTCTTGAATGAAATTTAAAAGTATTTTATTTAAATGTTCTAATGAAATTTTTTTTGGGTTAAACCTAGTTGAATGATAATAACTAGGGATTAAAAAACAAATACATTCATCAGCAAATGGTGAGATGCCCATTGCTAGCAATATTAGTAGCTTTTAATAAATTGGTGTTCCCATAACAATATTGCTAGCAAGTCTGTATTAAAGAAGTTGAACTAATTATATTATCTCAATACTATATGGTCATAACTAAATTTATAGAATTATATTAAACAGAAATAGATGAACATTTCAAGGCCCTTCTCCAATATTTACATCCGAATATGGACTTTATTGCTGAAAGCTACATGAAAATAGGCTAATACAGTGCAGTTTCATAAGAAAGCAGAACTACTTCATAGATATTCTGAGTTTCATAATAACTCCCAATATCTTATGTACTAAACTTTACAGCTCTTATTTCTCTTCATAACATGTTGCTCCGACAGCTTCGGTATAGGCTAATTTTCTATATAATTGTCCCATCTTTGATTGTTGCGTTCTTTAAAACTATTGTGATACCTTCCTTTATGATGTACCCTTCGCTCGGCCGGTTAGCTTCTCTAACACCCTATTTGCACAAATCAAACATTTTTTTTGTTTATTTCATGTTGAAATCTCAACATTCTGTTGCAAAATCAGAATTAAGCAATTTTTTTTTACATACATCTTTGTTTTGTATGATCACATTCTTCCCGACCCTCGCATTCATGTCAATGATGCAATTTCTGATGAAAGGAAAATCAGCTATTTAGAAAAATTCAGTAGAGGAAAATAGGCATCATGATACTCTTATCCAAATTCAATCAAGGTAAGCATTGAAATGACAATATGAAAAAGTTGCATGATTTCTCTTGATAAAAAAAATTTAAAATTAATGGAGACATTTGCTCTGAAATAATATTTAATTAATAGAATAAAAGTCATTAAAAGTTGATAAGATAAATTATATAGAGTTGAAGACTTGCATGTGTCTCACCTGATCTTAGTGTTTTCACCTACGCCAATGGGAACCTTATCCTCCGACAGAAGAGAAGCAATTTCAGCTTCAGTTTCATACAAGTCAGCACCCATCATCACAGTGTCCTGTTATATTTATAATTTGCAAAGTTTGTTAGAAAAAAAAGGAAAATTACATTGAAAATACTATATGAATAATCATGAATTTAAAAATTCAACTGCATATTATTTAGCATCAACATGATAACATCCTCAATATGATATTCTCTAACAAGGTTATCACATATAAACATCAAATAATTCATTAGAAATAAATTATGTGACAGTCTTGTATATCTTATGAGCATGATTCCAAACAGTACTATAGATAGTAAAATTATTACTATCATTCTTAGGCATACTTTGCCAAAACATAATCAGCTCTACGGATATCTAAATAATTTTTGTTTACTAAATATGTTCTCATTAAAAAGAGTTACTAGCTCTGTAACATCGGCAGCATATTTAGTAAAAATAATCATAACAAATTAAATGTGAAATTGAATTTGAATATTTGAAAAAAAAATTAGAAAAATATATAAAATAATTAGAAATCATTGGACTTGTGGGGAAGCATTGTACATGAGGATTGTTTGTCACTTAGACATCATCTATAAGGGCAAAGATTAATTGGCTGCAGCCCCTCAAGGTAAAGCACCAACTTCTCACATTGTGCGAACGTCATTGAGGATCATAAGAAAACAAAAAATGCATTTCAGACTCCAAATAGAGAATATTTATATTACTAAATTATAAAAACAAAACCCTTAGTGGAATCCTGATCTGTCGGTGAATCACACCTCAAGGGTTATAGCTTAAGGAAAAAGGGAGGGAGGGAGAGAGAGAGAGAGGAATGTGCAGAGTAATGACATAGATCCTCCTTATTCATAAAATAATCTTCTATTTATAGAGAAAAAGGTACAATATGTGAAGTTACTTGTTTGTCCTACTTTAATAGGGGAGTTATAGGATATTTTGGTAATTATACATGTATGGGTCTATGGCTCGGCTATCTTTTAGCACGATTAACTGAGCTTGGTAGTATTGACCTCATTTTTAGTGAGGTCTGGTCTTCCTCTTAGGGTTTAGGATCTAGCCTTAGGGATCTTCCTTCGACTATCTTAGAACCTTAGAAATGGGACCCGCATTGTTCTAGAAATTCAACCAGCTTCTGTACTCTTTTGTGGTTTCGCGTGTGTGGTATCGACTTCCAACACTTAGAAGGATGAAACCAACATGAGGAACCAAAAAGGGATTCCTGTAGGACCTTTTGAGCCTTAGGGTAACCTGCACAATTCGCACTCCCGCACGCATAAACTTCGCAATTCGGAGAGTCGACGCGTCGGATCGCCACGATTCGCATCGCTTGCACTGTTATTCGTCGAGGGCTCGATTAAAGCTGTTGAGACGATCGATCGTGGGTCGAAATTTTGTGAAATTTTAATTTCGACGCGTTTTTGACCCGATTGTCGACGACGTCGTCCGAGCGACCCCGGATGACAAAACGGACTGCACCGGCGCGTCCAGGACGTCGATTTTGCCTAGGGAGGACACCCATTTTGTTGCGTCGCCGCGCACAAGTAAATCGTGTTTTAATTAATTAATGATCTCCCCTTTCCTCTTTAATCCCTAGCACTCCCTGCGTCCGAACTCTGTCTCCCTTCCTTCTCCCGTTCGCGTGTCTGGCTCTTTCTCTTTCTCGGTCTCGAGCCGAGCGAGCTCTTTCTCCTCCACGCGAGGGAAGAGTTGACCTCGTCTGTCCTTCCCTGACTTTCTTCTGCCCGCGGCCTTCTTTCCCGAAGCCGCGCCGGTCTCCTTGAGCCGTGGATTTTCTTTTCTCGGTAGTTTGACTCTGATAAACTTGTTCCCTAATACACTAAAATGGCATTTCTCCTCCTCTTCCCGATGTTTCCCTTGCTGCCATTGCTCTCGCTGCTCGGGGCCTGCCATGGCTCTCGCTGCTCGGTCCGAGAGATGTCGTTGGCTTCGCCTTCTATCGGCAGGGAGCATTTTTTTTCTTTTTTGGCCAACTTTGGCCAGATTCGAGTGTCGTGGACGGTTGAGAGTGGTCTTCTTTCTCTTCTCTCTATTCTCTGCCTATATACACAGCTCCTTTTGAAGTTTTGAGGTTGTTGGAAAAGTTTTCTGAGAGAAGAGTAAAAATTTTGGCTGCAAGGAGTCTAGGAGAAGAATTTCTGTGAGAGCGTTTATTTGAGGCGAACTCTTGTGTTGCAGGGCTTTACTTTAGCATTATTGAGGTATCATTCTTCCCCCCTCTTCTTTGGTGCTCTGTTTCTTTTCGGTTTTCCTCTTTGCCGGGTCTTTGAACTTGGCTCTGTTGGAGAATACAACTTGCTAGCTCATTTTATTTGGATATATTTTCTTGAGATATTCACTTCAAGTGCATTTGGAAATGAAAATGTGAGCATGTGTTAAAACTAGACTTGGTTACTTACTTAAACTAGGGAGACTATGGCATCCTTATGATTATTGTGGCATGTTTATGTTGGAAACATTTAGGGAGTTAAGGCATGACTTTGAAATGATTTTTGCTCCTCTTGCAAGCATGTTGGGGTTTCGGCTTTAGCATCTTATGACTGGTTCTTGCTTAAGATGAATGCTTGGGAGTGCATTTTACTGTTTTATGCATGTTTGGGGGCTC